GGAATATGTCGGGAAGCCGGAAGGCATATGGTTTTTCACAAAAAACTCAATGGCTGGGATAAGGTAAACCCTGTGCGGCTCCCAGCAAATGAGACCTTCGGAAGTGGACAGAACATGCAGCTCGTTACAGCGTCTGGAAGTAAAAACCGCAAGGAGGAACGTCAGTTTGATGCCGAGATGGAGATCAGATGCATCAGACAGCGGCTCGAAGGGGGGGACCAGCCAGAATGCGAGAACACTCCCAAGGTCCCAGGACCTTCAACAAACATTCATCGAAGAAGATGGTGGATGGCAGCATTATCAGAGACCACTGATCCATCGCTGACGCCCTAATGAACAGCTGCCAAGGCCGACCGGTATTTGCAGATGGTGGCAATCTGGAGGCCCGAGTGAAACAGATACATGAAGAAGTCTGCGATGGAACTCACAGGAGCTTCGGCTGGAGAAACATCATGGTCGTTGTACCATCTAGTAAAATGCTGTTGTCGGCTGCTGTAAATCTTGCAAGTGGACAGTCGTCCAAAGAAAGGCTTGACGCTCTGAAAAATCATTGGACAATATCCAGCACGTCAAGTGAAGACCGCCTGGTACTGGATGGAGGACCCCTGACCTGGGTTGACACAGAATGTCCTCCATGGGCAGAAGGACCAGCGGTCATCGAACCAGGAGCCTTGTCAGTTTCAGGAACCATGGCTGGCAAGGCCAGAATGGGGCCATGAGGAGGACTCGACATGGCTCTTGTTCTATCTTAGATATGACCAGCGGGATGAGGGAGATTGGGGGAAAAGCATACGCCAGAAGGCTGGACCAGTCAATCTGTAGAGCATCCGTTGCCCACTCCTGTGGGTGAGGAAACCTAGAGCACAACATCGGAAGATGAGTATTGTCGGCCGATGTGAAGAGGTCAACGTGGGGATGCTTGCTCTCCCCAAAAATCTGGCTGTGCACTACCGGATGAAGAGTCCACTCCGTTGGGTTGACAGTGACCTGAGAGAGAGCATTTGCTATGCTGTTGGTTTTTCCCCCTATGTGAACGGCCTGGAGGGCGATCCCTTGATCGCCTGCCCATATGAAGATCTGCCAGGTGAGGGCGCAGAGTTGACGGGACTGAGTGCTGCCTTGGTAGTTGATGTATCCCACCACTGTGGAGTTGTCACTCTGGATTTGAACTGAGAGGCCTACTAAATACTGCTGGAAGTGGTGAAGGGCTTGAACATTACATGAAGTTAAGCAGGTTGAAGTGTTTGTTGCAAAAAAAACCAGTCTCAATCCTCCGATGTGTGGAGTGGAGGAAGGGAGGCTCCCAATCTGAATTGTGACGTGCCCGTTGTCACTGTGGAATTCGGTCTCGGGGGAACAAAGGGGCAACCAGTCAACAGACAAGGTCAACCAAATTGGCCATTTCTCTCAGAAGATGGAGCCACGTTGACGTCGGAGGCACCTCGGACCGCAGAAACTGAGAGACGCATTGCGCAGGTTGAGGCTGCATTCTGGTGTCGGAGCTGCAATACCTTTGCGGAGGTCGAGGACCACCCTGAGGTAGGTCGGCCTTTGTGATGGATTGACAGCTGACTTGTCGTGGTTGATGAGGAACCCCAGGCACGTTGTGATGTCGAGGGTGAGACAAGTGCAGGCACTGGCCTCGTCAGGGGAGCGACCGACGATCAACCAGTTGTCCAGGTATTGAAAAATGAGGGCATCGCACTGTCGTAGATAGGGGGCGAGAGTCTTGGCGATCCTGGCGAAGACCCTTGGTAAGGTTGAGAGACCAAATGGAAGAGCTCGAAACTGGTAGGTTTGGCTGCAGTACTCGAAGCAGAGGAACTTGCAGTCCTGCTTGTGTATCGGGATATACAGATAAGCCTCTCACATCTTGAAAAAAAGATAAGCCTCTCGTAGATCTATGGAGGTGACCCAGTATGGGACTGGTAACAAGGTAGCGTAGGATCATGCTCAGGGTCTCCATTCAAAACTGTCTTGGCTTGATGAACTTCTTGAGCGGTTTCAAGTTAATTATCGGTCGCCATTTTCCTGGTTCTTTCTTGGGTGTCAGGAAACATGACGACAGGAAGCCGGAGGATAGCTGGCTTGGGTGCACCGGCGTGATGGCTCGTTTGCACAGTAACGCTGAAATCTCCTCCTCTAGAGCCAGGCGCTTGGACTTGTTGCATGGAGGGGGAGTAGAACGGAAAACCATCCCAGACGGCAGGGGGTTTGTAAACTTGAGGGAGTAGCCGCGGGCAATGGTGGCGAGGACCCAGCTGTCTGCTGTGATTTCCTGCCAGAACCCAATGAAATTGCCCAGACGAAGGCGAATGGAAGTAGTCACTGGTGCCATCCCCCAGAGGAACTGGGAGCGCAGCGTGAGAACCCACGGCCGACGAGGCGTGGCTGGAGTCTTCTAGGAGTGGCTGTAGGTGGAGTTCACCAGGGGTCTGATGGCCGAATAGCTGCCCGGAGTGGAAAACTGAAGGAGTGGCCTAAAGATGGGGTGGACCCACCCGTCGTTTTGGTGGTAGCAGAGGCTGCTGGCAAGAAGGAGCCGCAGGTTCACGAAGCGAAATCTTCTTGGCGGTCTCCATACGTTCCACCTCTGACTTGACAACCTTCATGAATTTACTGGCAAAGAGATCATCCCCAAGAAGCAGAAGATTCCTGATTTTATTCTTGATGGAGTCACAGGGGATATTCATGGCGTCCACTGCTTTGGCTCTGTGGCTAGAAGTGGCCAGAAGGGAGATACGAGTGAACTGCTCAAAGACCAAGTTAAGTCCCTCGTCAAGCCCCCCGCAGATCAAGGGCCGCAAAGTCTGGGGGAGACCGAAGAGTCTTCTTCACAAGCTCTGGCAATGTACTCCTATAGAAGAAAAAAGGCTGAACATCAGAGGCCAAAGCGGGACGCCATATCTAGGCAACAGAGAACTGCATCAAAGTTGGTCTTGTCCTTATCCCAGAAGGTGTTGCGTTTGCCGGAATTTGACGAGATCTTGTCTCTGGCAACATCAGGAATATCTGGGGTTGACAGGAAGCTAGAGACATCCTCTTGGGGGAAAACGGTAGTAGGAGTTGCGCGCCAGCACTTAGCCTTCACAAGGGCATTCATCATCTCCACACAGGAACGATCTATAAGGATCTCCACGAAGACGGGTTCAGCTGACTCGAGGCATGAAGGGTGGCGCTTGAACGAAGTATGTCCCTGTTCAGTCGGCATGGGATCTGATGATGGGAGTCCAAGAACGTGGATCATGTCATGCTCAAGAAGGTGGTGGCGGCCCTCCAGCTGAGTCAGACCAGCAACAGAGTCGATGTCATCATCCTTGGAGGAGCGAGGCCGAAGACCGGCAGAAGCTAGAACCAAGCTGTGTTCCTCGCAAAGTGGGTCACCTTGAACCGGGACCTGCTCCGGAGCCAGGTTTCGCTGGGAAGTCGCTTCAGTCTCCGAGAATGCCCCTTGCGAGGGAGGAGGGATGGCTGGAGGGGATCCGGGTCGGTTGCCGTCGCTACTGGCTGAGACTCAGAGTCTATCTTGCAGGTGAGAGAGGTGAAGGCCTCTGAGAGGGACTGGAGGGTCGCCATCCATGGGGGTGGACCTGGATCAGAGTGGCATTTCTTCTTGGCCTTGGATGACGTAGAGGCCGAGAAAGATGACTTGGCCTTGCGCTTCTTAGTCTTCACCGGTGCAGGGGAGCTGGAGGCTAGGACAGTTAGAGGAAGGACCAGGCGGGGGTCCCCCGAGTGGTTGGTCATCTCCTTTGAGGAGCGTCCCAGATCAAGATTGGTAGCTTCATGACCGGAGTCCATCAGCAGGCTAAAGCTGTGAATGGGGAGTGGCGGATGGAAGCTCCGGTGACATAGCAGTCAAGAAGAGGCACCATTGTCTAAAGCCACAGGAGGCTAAGCTGAATTGCTGACTCATCCGTGGCAGAAGCGATGTAGCGTGGCTAACCCCTGTGGAACCCATTGCCCGCTTAGAGGGAATTGACTGGCCTGACGTCCAAGCGGGTGCCGCCTGGTGAGCAGCAGCCGGTGAGGGACCCGGGGCAGACGGCGGTCGCCCTGTGAGCCCCGCTGAGCCATCATGATCAAGGATATTTTTGTGGCACAGCAACGCTTAACCAGATCTATAGGCATGTGGAGTGGGCGCTGATGACCAGGGTAGTGTAGCAGTCCAGCACGCTCGGCCCAGAGGGTAGGTGAATGGAGTAGTCATCAGTGATCAAGGGCATTGTTACGGTACCGCTTGCTCAGCCCGATCAATTCCGGTAGTAGTCATCAGCGATCAGGGTATTGTTGTGGCATAGCATGCTCAACCCGATCTCATAGATAATGGTCCAGGGTAGTGTTGCGGCATAAGCACGCTCAACCCCATCGAGGCCACTCCACTAGGTCTCTCCTCGTCGAGGCCGCTAATCGGATAATGCAAAACCACACCACAAAGGACTGGGGCAGCCTTCCAAGCCCCGCTCCATGGCCAGACCCATATTGCGTTGGGCCGTTATTATTCAATGGCCATACCCAACACAACGCATCACGGTAGGCCACACCCAAACCTGTAGAGGATGCACAGAAAGAAAGGGGCAGAAAAGAACACAAAAAAACACAGCACGCAAAGAATGAAATATAAAAATAAACACTCTTACCAAAAGATCTGAAACAGGAATCAAGTCAATTCACAAACACGAAAGGTACGAAACTCAAAACTCTGAATATGCCATAAAAGATACATTCGTAAACGATAGGTGCCGAGAAAAGAAGGACAAACATGGAGGTGGGACCGCAGTGCATTGTGGAGGGTCAAGGGCAGCATGCGTAATAAAGTCTTTCAGTGAATTGTAATAGGCACATGGGAAATTTGCATGTGCAGGCCGGGCAGCGGTATATGAACGAAGGGGACATAGACTTTTAGCTTTCATGTGACACCGATTTTGTTTTAGTCACTTTTATTTAAATTTGTTTATGTCATGGCCACTTTGGTGTGGAATTACCTTTAATGTACATACCTTGAAGTCACAGTGTGATAAATAGGTAGAAAATGCTTTTGTGGCATGATCTCGGACTCCAAGTTGTGGATGAACCAAGAGTGGATAAACGATCTCATGAATGCAAGTGCTTATGAAATCCGGCAACTGACTCAATTCTTGCTTGCCAAGCTGAAGAAAATGGAAAAAAGACAACAGTATTGGTAACTGCTTGTATTATACATGTACATGGCTGGAACATCAAAACATCACAGCAGACAAGTTTCCAAAAATAAAATTTCAACCAAAAAGAGGCATACTCCTAATTTTAACCCATAAAGAGTCAGATTATACTGGACCCCCTCACAGCTGGGAGGAGGAATGATTCCACCCCTAAGAACTCACATGTTACTTTCCTCATATCGAAACTTTGCATGCATGTCAAGACATTCATTGTCATTGTGATGTTTTAATTCAACATTACATTGGGTTTTGAAGTTATTGGTCAAATGCATCAGCCTCCTATTGAACATTCAATGGAAAAAGTATGGATTTTGGCTGATCTGTCAGAAAAAAGTGTATTACATGAAAATGGCATTTCCAATTTTCAGAAAATTTACGTCAAAATTATTGCAAGACGTTACTAAGGCAGCAACGCGAAATTGACTGACTGTCCCGCCCCGTGCCTAAAACTCGGGATCCCGAGGACTAAGTTAACAAAAGAGCCCCTGGCAATGCTGTCTATCCCTACCAGAAAAGGTTCATTTAAAAATGAAATAAAATGAATACACCCGAGATTCCGCGGGTGCGCCAGCCAGCCTCAGTGGCAGGAAGGTTAATTTAAATATGAATGGCCCACTGAAGTCAGTGTGCAGAGTCGGTCCATGGGGTGAACGAACTAAGAACCGTGGCTGCTTGGTTCCCGTCTGAACAATGGGGAAATGATTTGGGCGCCTGGGCCTAATCTTGTGTTTTTTTTGTTTTACAGCTTTCCTTTGGCAGGAAGTGCAGAAGGCAAGTTATTTTTATGTATTACGATTTTGTGAAGGCATGCTTCAACTCAATCATCTGCTTCTGCTAATTTGAAATAAACCAGAGTGATGATTTTTCCCCTTGTTAAAGTCTTAATAGAGTCGACTCTCATTATTACAAAATCCCCAGGACCACGTAGAAACATACAATGCAAGCTTGTGTATGCATTTACATTTAAAAAAAACATGTGGTCGATGTTACATCAAAAAGATCTCTTGGTTATAATTAATCAAATATATTGTGATGCGTTTAGAATAATAAAATTCACTGTCATATGAAAACATGTTTATTGTGCATGTGAGATTAATAAAAGCAAATACATGTACACGTACATGTGAAAGCATCGATCCAGGGATTTTTAAAAGGCTTTCGATTGCCATGGATGATGACGAAGCTAAACGCCATGCACATATAGGCCTGTGTGTACCTGCAAGAATGTGATGATTCATCAACTAGAGCCCACATCCATGTACATGTAAGTGGTCTTTCCAACACAAATTGTGTCATGGAGAGACATTTTTATTTCATTTTCCGTCTGTCTTATGATTTTGGACACTAACTGCATGACACAATTGATCGATAGTCAGAGTTCACTCACCCACTGCAGCGCGGCCGCCCATGTGCAAGATGGTCACTGAAGGAGCATGATGTCGTGAAGGAATACTGCGATTGGATAGCTGTGTCCCGCAAAATGTACCTTGTGAAAATGCAGTCTCATTGGCTGGTACGCTAGATCTTTTGCAGCAATGTGAATAATTCAGTGTTGGGCGATTGGTTGGGCTCTTGAGATGTGAGAGTAGTCAAGCGAACTTTTTTGGCCTATCTTTATCGAAATCGGGAAGGGAATTTTTGTTTTGATGTTTGTGTAATCAATGTAAAAAATCATTGATTTTGAATCGTGCTTTATGCTTGTCATGACTACAGAAAACTGGCAAATGATGTCTGTGTATCGCATTGTAAGGAATTGTGCGACGCATCTGGAGGGCCAGGGGCGGGCAATTAGCCTTGTGCTGTGGCTGGAAATTTTGTGGAAACACGCTCGTTTGAGTACGAGCAGTACATCTTCAAATTAAATACATGAACACATAAAACACAAACACAGACATTACTTTACTTCATAACCCTCTAAATCTTCAGTCACGTGAAAGTTTACTTCATAATCCTCTACAGTGTTAAATTCATGGACCCAGTTTGTTTTCATGCAGTAATGAGGTTGTAATTCACATTAAGAATGTTTGCCCTGCAGTTTTTGATTGATAGTTTCCTTGATGGATTTATCCATTTTTGCAGTTATTAAAAATTATGATCACGATTTAATTTGTTTCACTTTTTGCGGGTGGTTTCGTAATAAATATGAAGATGAGTGCAAAAATTATCACTACAATGTCGCCACAGCAAAGCCACGTAGCCATGGCTCACCGTGGTGAGCACGTGTTGTACTTGTACAATTGCGCTGCATGGACAGCCAGCCCATTCGATCGCTAGGTCCACTCCCATATATGTTCCATGGTTATCATGGGACAAGTCTCAGATCTTCACCGTTTCATGCATACTTTTTAAGGTGGATCTTATAAAAAAGACTGAGTTGCCTGCCTTTTTGCAAAAGTAAAATAATTTTAAATAGCCTATTTTAGTTTGCAACGTATACTAGTCAATGATTACAGTGGAACTAAACAAGGGTGACCGCCTGGAAGACGGCAACCAGAATGGTGGTATGGTATTATAGCTAAATATTGAAAACAGTCACAGGTCTACAGATTTATAATCGTAAACCATCGAGATACATTGAATAGTTTGTCGATAAAATTTTTTAATCGTGATTTCAAGTCGCCGGTCTTTCTGCGTGCAGGCGGTTTGTATTCATGAATTGTCCCCACGGCTCATATTTATTCACAGCTCCCTTTGTCTGGATGACAATTACTGTGATCGGTCAAGCCCCGGTTCAGCTCATTAAACTCTGCCATGCTTGAGTGCACGCTCCCGTGCAGGACGTGTGTTCTTGCCCTCCTTGACAATGCCCAACTGATCCGGGAGAAGGCGGGCAAGACGCAGAATAATGGCAAGTCAATTTCGCGTTGCTGCGTAAAAATTATTAATAAAAATTATTAGACCTCTTTTAGGTTTTATGACTTGACTTCCACCCCCACTGTAGTGTGTGATGAGTCTGCTAACAAATACCTTCCCATTGTTACACATACAAATTTGCTTTGCATCTTAACCTCTTGACGGTGGGATATTTTAACCGCATCCTACCTGCTGGAATTAATTTTTCAATTTTGCTAACGGCAACCGCAGATACCTAGACCTTAAGACACCAGGCCTTATCTGCCAAGTTTGCTGGGTCACACACTGCACACAGCCCGGCTCTGTGTGGTCATGATTCTTGCTGGGGTACTTGGATCCCGTTCAACATAATACCAGGCACCCAGCACTTGCCTTGCCCATGGGACAACACTAACTACCCAAAAACATTCGACCAAAGCGGAGCGTGCAGCTACGGACGGGCACTGTGGCTCATGTGCTTGCTCCCCAGTAGTCAATGCATGCCCAGCCCCAACTTGTACATTAAGCGCACTTCACAAGTTTTTATTTCATCTAAATACCCAGTCAAGATTACCCATAAACTTTGCCTATTTTTTATTTTGCGCAAAGTTCGCACATAAATTTCTTGCACATTTCTAAGCTTTGTTTTTGCAACTTGTATTCAAATCCCCTTTCTGTTTGTAATGATATATATAAAACAACCCCTTCTAAGTAAAATTGGAACCATCTCATGAAAATTATC